TATATATATTAGTACAGGGTCTCACTACACAGATTGGACTCGTAGTGATCCTCTTGTTTTCAGCCTCCCAAGTGCTGGGAATACAGGTGCACAACCACACCCAGTCTCAATCACCTCAGTGCACCCTGGGGGCAGGGCTGGCATGGCACATAGGAGATCAAATCCCTGGCCCTTGCTCCTGCTTGCAGGCACTTTAATCTGCTGAGCTATTTGGCCAGCCCTTTGAATACTGAGTTTAAATTGTGCCACTTTACTAAATTTTATTCTTAATCCTCTTTGTGGAGCTTTCATGTTTTCTATGCAGAGAATCTTATCTTCTGCATGCAGAGATAATAGGATATTCTTTTTCTATTTTGCTGAATTTTATACTTTCTCTTGCCTAAATACTCTGAATAAAATTTCTAGCGCTACATAAATAAAACAGACAGAGTGGACACCCTGGTTCTTGTTCCTGAGTTTAAAAGAAATATTTTAAACTTTTCCTCATTCAATATGAAGTTGGCTATGGTTTTGTTATACAAAGCTTTAATTACGATAAGGCAGGATCTCTGTATACTCTATTTATTAAGGTATACAAACTAGAGATATATGAATTTTATGAAATAATTTTCTGTATCTATTGAGATAATTATATGGTTACAAAATTTTTATTCACATATTGCTAATTCTGTTTGATATATTTATTGATGTGCTTGTTGAGTTATCCTTGTATCCTTTGAAATAATATAAACTTGATTTATATATATAAAACATATGTTGTATATGTTTTGGCATGACTTTGATTTGCAAGTATTTTATTGGGGACATTTCCCTAAGTTTATCAGGGACATTGGCTAATTTTTTCATTGTGTCTTTGTCAAGATTTGGTCACTGGGCAATTGTGTGCTTACAGCGTGTTGAAGCTTTTTTTTTTTTTAATTCTCTGGAAAAGTTTGAGAAGCATTGTTGCTGGTTTTATTTAAAAGTTTGCTAAAATTCAGCAGCAAATACATCCAGTCCTGGGCTTTCCTTTGAAGAAACACACACACACACACACACACACACGCACACACACACGATAGCTAAGATAATTCTACTACTAATTGTTGGTGGTTTATAACAGTTAATACTTAACTGTTTTGATCAATTTTGCATATCTACATCTGATTATCTGAACAATTCCTTTGAAGTTAACAATATGCAATGTAACACCATTGGTTTGGTTTCCTATCATCTCGTTTTGAAATTTTGTATCATTTTTAATGTCTTTCTAATTATCTTTAGAATAAAAAATATGAAGAAAGTCTCTTAATACTGAATAGCCATTCTTTGGTACTCACCTATATATTGTTGGTTTTATTTTAACAAGTCATATATGCCCTGCTAAAATGTGTCTGTTTTTACTACATTTTTGTATTTTCAAATAATAGCTAACGATTCCTTGAAGTTCTACGCTATTAGCTGTACTGTCTCCCTATTCATCTAATTTTGGGCGTGATTTTTCTTTCATTTTAATTACTTGGTACATGGTCTGGCTACCCAGCTTAGATCCATAGTCATCCTCCTGTTTCAGCTAACCCAGAGCTGGGATTCCAGGTGTGCAACACCATGCCCATTTTCAGTGCAAGGCCAGAACGGCATGTGGTACCTGGGATTGAACTCGAGTCCCTGCACTTGCCAGGCAGGCACTTAGACTGCCAAGCTATGTCCCCAGCCTGGGTATATATTTTTTTTTCCTACTGTACTCAGGGCCTGAAATGCATCCATAGATTGTTTCTTATTTTTTGACAGACTTGAAATAAACTCATTATTATAAACTTTCTCTTAGTATTGTTATTAGGCATCCCATAGACTTTGGTATATTCTGTTCCATTTTCACTTTTTCAAGGAAATTTTAAATTTTCCTGTCTTCCTCAATGACTCACTGTTCACAAGTGCATTGTGAATCTCAATGTATTTATATACTTTCTAATGTTTTTCCTGCTATTGATTTCTAGTTTCACTCCATTGTCAGCAGAAAAATTATAGGTTGTAATTTCAGTCTTCTTGAATTTGTTGAGATTTTTGGAGCCTAAGATGTGGCCAATTTTAGAACAATACACTGATTTAAAAGAAAGTGTGTATTCTGTAGCTATTGATGAAACATTTCTATAAATAGCTATTGATTTGTAGTGTGGTTTTAACTCCAACCTTTCTTGTTGATTCTTGACCTAGATGATCTATCCATTGATGAGTGAAGGTCTAAATTTCCCTATTACTGTATAGGAGCTTATTTTCCCTTTTTATCTAGTAGTGTTTCTTTATAAAATTGGGAACTCCAACATTAAGTGCATACAGATTTATGTTTTTTATATCTTCTTGATGAATTGAATCCTTGATCACTACGTAGAGACTTTCATTTTCACCCATTACTCTTTTTTCGTGGCCCGAAGTCTATTCTGTTAGGTATAAATGAAATTATTCTTGCTTGTCTTCTGAGTCCATTTGGTTGGAATGTCACTTTCGTGTCTTCCCTATTCAGCCTGTATGTGACTGTAATGGTGAGGTAAGATTCCTGTAGGTAAAACTCCTCTCGACTGAGACAATGCATTCAGCATTGGTCAAAATGTATCTCTTGCCCTTCTGACCTATGACCTACTGGTGGGGCCATAGCCTAAGCCACAGCAGAGTTACCTGAGACCACCATGCTTTGTGGGTAAGGCGGCAGTGGAACCTCAGTGCACCCTCTGACTCACAAGCTACAAGTGTCTGTGTGCAGCAGGAACCGTGTACACAATCACCCTCTGTTCTGGAACCTGCATGAAATCACGGGCGAGTGGTTATGTCCCAGGTCTCAGGGAGCATTTTTGGGATCCCCTGTTCTTATAGTTAGTTATGTTAACTCCCCTTTGAATTGCAAAATCTGTTCCTCGCAAGGCAGCACTTTCAGTCAGCTTAAGTCAGAATCTATTGAGCAACACCTGGTGTGTGAGACAGGTAACTTCTGAGTCACTGCAGTGGGATGTCTCTGGAATGGGGTCCCAGAAACAGGAATATATAGGGATTTCTGAACCCCAAGATTCTTTCTAATTCAGACAAGAGTCCACTTCTCACCATGATCCATGGCTACAATGCCTTATGGTTTTGCTAGAAGTCATTTTTATTTCCAAAGCCAGATTACTAGGTATGCAAACTTCAGGTCTCTAAATAGAAAGCCTACAGTAGCCACAAAACTTTCCAATATCAAGGATTGCCTGTACCCATGCCATTAGTTGGTAAGGACTCTTTCTTCCACCTTTACTTCTGTGGTTGGGAAGCTTTCTCTCCAGGTCTTGGAACTATAGAAAGTGATGAAATGCTGTATTTTTCTTCCTGTGCTATTTACCCAGGTGTCTTAATTATTAAAGATTTCCATTTTCCACTATTGAATTCTAGTGATCTCCTGCTCTCACTCTTTCAGTTCAGCTATATCCCTATTTCTGTAATTCTTCTCAGTGGAGGTCTGAATGCTGGCTCATTTTTGTGGTCATCCTGCCAATCACCTCAAATTTAGTTATACATAAATATATCCTCATATTCTTATGGACTTAACCAAGATGAAATATAAATGTCCAATTTAAGCAGAACTTTTGAAAGTAAATGACTGAGACTATAATTTCAAGATCTCATTGAGCAAAATGCAAATCAACTGAAGAAATATGCTCAATGTTCTAAAAAGTAATAGTTTATTTATATCTTTACTCTGTTTCTATTCAAAGCCTAATTTCTCCCTATGACTCCATATCTACATGTATATATACAAATCTCAGTTTGTCTTTCTGTGACTCAAATAACTCATAGCTTTAGTAATGATAATGAACAAAAACCAATAAACTATTCCATAATTGTGCAATTTCCCCCTAGTTGCTACTTTCATTGATAAGAAATTTTATTTCACCACGTGTTTCACAGAATACTTACTCTTACAGATTGTGCATTTTTATATTAATTATAAATACATTCCTAATATAATTGTTTAAATAAATTAAAAGGGGCCAAAATCAAATAAAAAATGATGTATAACAGATGATAATTTGTTTTAAAATACGAATTAGTTGACATTATCTGAGAAATTCTCAAACAATACTTTTGTGATCAGTGAATTAATTTTTGTTTGCTCTATTAAAAACATATTTTAGGCTCAATATGATTATTATTCTTGCTTTATGCATAATATCTTATTGTATGCTTTTCTGATACAGATACAATTGTCTTGTTTGTATTCTAGAAATAAATATAACATAGGAAACTTCTATCATGAATACAAAATTTGCATTACTCTTTTTCTCTATTGATTATGAAGCAAATATTATAAAGATGAAGAATACATTTCTTTTGGGGAAATTACATTGCGGTATAAAAGTTAAGGGCTAGGGAGATAGCTCAGTAGAATAGGTGCTTGCCAGGCAAGTGCAAGGTCCTGATTTCAATCCCCAATACTGAAAAAAAAAAACCTTAAAACTAGTTGTCTAGGGGCTGGGGAAATGGCTCAAGTGGAATAAGTGCTTCCCAGGCAAGCACAAGGGCCTGAGTTCAAGCCCTGGTTCTGGAAAAAAAAATCTAGTTGTCTAAGGTACTAAACTGTTATATATCAGTGGTCTTAAGACAAAACACATTTCTCAAATAATATTAGACACTCTTCTTTATAATTAATGACAAAGGTAACATCTAATTTAAATAGCAGTATTGATAATTATATATACCTTTTGGCTTTGTCATAACCCATAAGCAATAAAAGAAATAAAATTTAATACTCTACCAAATGTAAGAAATTATAAGGAAAGACACTCACATGATCAATTAGTTCACGAACCATTCCATTCCACTGTCCATTGGCATCATCCTGGGCCCCATACTTCCCATCCTCCACAAGCCTAATTTCATATGTAAAGCCGAGGATTGTAGATAACTCCCTGAGGAGATCAATACAATAGCCCTCAAATCGATCATTCCCGTAGAGTGGTTTGTCAGACTTCTTAAACAAGACATAAGGTTCTTCCTGGAAACATCAAATGGGAAGAAAGAAGTATTAATTAAATAGGACATTTGTCATAAAAGACAGATTTTAAAAATATTATGTACTAATTTAGATTAAGAAGAGATATTCAGATTTAGTGAATATTTATTCCAGTAATAATAAAGTATGTCATTAGTACACAATAAATTTATAAAATATATAATGTAAAATATATATTATCTGAGATCATATAGTTTCTATCAAATATAATATGTACTATATAAAAATAATATAATATGCTATATACTACCTGATTTCACCATGATTAAAATATTCTCATTGGAGTCAGCAATTTTGTCACTATTTGGCAAAATCTTTCAGTGGGATCTGTAGCTGAACTGAACCAAATGTTTCGTGGCTAATTTGTCTACTATATGCTGAAAAATGATATGGGGACTTTTGTAAGCATTAGCATATCCTGTCCTAAAATCCATGAAAGTTGCAACTATGACATTGAATAAGAGAAAAAAAATCAGTAGCTACTTCATAATATAAATAAACTAGCATCAAATGCTTATGCATTTATCCACCAGTGTTTCATACAGCACTGCCTGTACGCCAGCCCCCTCCTCTCTCTTCAAGAGTAACCCTGGTGCTAAGAAGCTCATGATATAGAAAAGAAACCATAATAAATATCTCAACAAATAACATACATCACATAGATGTTAAGTGATATAATAGCATAAAATAGTTCAGCAAGGTAGAAAACAATTTCAAGGTATTGATAAGAAAAGACGGAGGAAACTGGGTGATGTTGTGTATCCAGAAGTGTGTTCTGAACGGGCAAAAGATAAGATAGAGCCTAAAAGTAAGAAGATTTTGGCCATTCAAAAATCTGAGAAGAGAATATGCCACATGAATGACACAGCAAGTAACAATCTCTTTCTGAAGCAGTTAGGGAGCTGCCTTTTGAGGACATCTTTACATATTCTGTTGTGGTTGCCCCGGTGCCCTCTATTAATTCAAGACCTGTCATGGGCATTTTGCCCTTGGAGAAAAGCCAGCAGTTTCACAGTGCCGGGTCTGTAGAGTAAGGAACATATAGGACATGTGAGGTGTCTGTCTTTCTGTTGGGTGACTCTCAACAGTAGTATCCATGATATGTTTTTCCATATCTCATAAAGAGGACTTTTAGGACTGCTTCCGAAAGTGCCAGGCATGATGGAATCCACATGTTTAAGGAAGCCAGAGCATTTCGAAGGTGATTCCAGCAACATGCTTTTGCTGTGATGAATTTTGTTACTTTAAACATTCAACTTACATTTTGATCACACTGTATCTGTTGATTTAATTCTATCAACTTCCTATTTTGGCTTTGCTTTGTTTATTTTAAATAATAGATTGTTAAAAAATTAATGAATGACTTTTTATTTAAAAGCACAAAGAACTGACAAATCATTAACTTTCATATGCTATATAAGAAACACTATTAACATTTTCAAAGCACTTTAATTTTGGCAGTTTCTGTTCTGAATGCTTTTACTTTAATTAGTTTATCTATTTCTTATAACAACAATGTGAAATCAATGCTATTATTTCCAATTTTTGATGAAGAAACTAAAAGACAAAGTGTTACGTGTTCTTTGCCCAAGATTAACGGCCAGTATAAACCCGGGTACTCAATCTGCTGGACCACTTACCACCACAAGGTCCTTCCCCAATTAAATGATTTGGAAGGATTAGTTCCAAAATTTATGTGAACACATAAAATTGCATATAATTATATAATTTTGTGCATGTTTTACAACTTTATAATTTTTAATTATCTGGGATTAATTGAGTAGCACACTCAAAACATCATTCAAGAGAATAAAATAATCATGTCACCCAGAATATTTATTTCCTGCAGGACACACTATCTGCTCCCTAAATAACAGCATATCTTTTAAACATAAAAGTACTTCAAGAATGTGTAAAAATGCATAGGCTGAGCCCATCAGAATTAGGAGCCATATATGAATAAAAATTTTTCTACTGAAATTATCAAATTATTCCAATTTCTATTCAAATTATTAAACATAACTGCATCTAAAATATATGCGGCATAAAAATGTTCATGGCACATTTTGCAAAAATAAACTTCACACTGAGAAAAAAATAATATAAGTTAATGATTACTTAAGTGTGTGAGGAATTATTTTAAGGGTACGTATTGCCAGGAATGAAAATGCAGCAAAATATTTTTAAAAGCCATTATGTTATTAAAATCTTATTACTCCAACTTGGCCAACTAGCCATTGTACCTATTAACTATTAACTTGATTTGCTTTACCTGAAAGCTAATAAGAACATTTCAATTATAGGCAAATGAATCTGTTGATTCTGTAAAACTCAAAGCACCTACTTAGATTTGTTCTAAACAGCTTTGAAAATCAGAGAAAAATATATGCAGCCTGAGTATCTTTTTTAGTATTTATGGATCTCCACAAAGTCAAGTAGTACTTTTCTCATATTTAATGCTGATAAGGCACAGCCTTCCGACTGTGAGTCCTATCTTCAGTTACGCTATGTCACAAGGTAGTTTTATATCAAGTTATGATTCTACTTTAAACTCTTTCTCTGTTTCACATGGCACGAGGATAAATAATCATCTCATGTAAGAAGAAGAAAAATGGTACCAGAAGCAATTACTGTATCACCAACTGAGTTCAATGAATAATATGATAAAACTCTCGGGGGCAACTTTACAGATTTCTCACACAGTCTTAAATCTGTACATCAGCACTTGCTAGAGGTAAAGGCACTTCATTCTGCTGGCATCTGTAATGAGACTCTTTCAGCATTTCTACTGTCAACCCCTGTTCTGAAGAGCTGACCAATAACTCATGTATTTTTACCTGCATTAGATGTGAGTTGGCAGAGAAAAATCTAAAATGAAGTTCTAAAATGGTGAAATATGCTTTGAGGTTGAGAGAAATGAAATGTTTTATTTAAATATAATAAAACTTTTAACATTTTTAGAAACTAATTCATGTATCCCTCAGCACTGATCTGGAGTTCAATTACTTGGTTTTTGTTTTGTTTTTGTAAGTTCTAAGGTACAATTGTCTTTCATATACTATTCAGAGTTTACGGAAATAAAAATGCAAATTAGTTTTAACGTGATACATAATATCTGAAGACTACATTAATTAATGTATATTCAAGCATATATTGAACTATCCCTAGAAGTAGGACTTCTGTTCCAGAAGTCCTCTAGAGACCACCTGTGGGATACAATGACACAATAATGATCTGTAAGAAACAATAACATAACAACCCTCAGTCTAGTGATAAATCTGAAAATCTTATATATTACATGTCGTCCAGGATTCCCTGTATGTCCACATTGCTTCCTTCATTAATGATTAACACAGGAATGTTTGCATAGAGCAAATTTAAAAAAATTTAGAGCACAAAATCGTATTAAACAGAAAAATTGCAAATGATACAGAGTTTAACTAAATAAAATAATATGAAGTCCACAGTAGTTGCTGTTTGTATAGTGTTGTCTTCAAATCAGTTGTTCATATTACCAGATATATGCTTGCAAAGCTCAGAAGAAAAAAAAAGAAATATATAAGAAATTAAGAGGGAAAAAAAAGGTAAAAAAAAAAATTGAAAAAAGGAGAGCCGGCAATACAGCTCAGCAGACTAAGTGCCTGTTTAGGCAAGTGCAGGGAGTGGGGTTGATCCCGGGTACCACATGCCATGCCAGATCTGCCCCGGGCATGGTGAGCCCACCACTGAGTCCAGGCATGGTGGCTCATGCCTGTAATCCCAGCACTGGGGAGGCTGAAAATAGGAGAATCACTATGAGTCTGAGCTGCATAGTGAGAACCTGTACCAAATACATTTTTAAAAAGAAGACAAAACAAATTAGGCACAAACTGCTTCTCACCATAGACCAGCAGAAATCTATAGTACAGCTGTCCAAACCATCCTACTTACATATGTAGACATATCTCCTTCCCACTCCTTCTCCTGTCCTCCTCAACTTAGTATTTCCTTCCTTTTGAATAGGTTCATTCTCTTTTCCCAGGACCTATTGTATTCCTCAGGTTTTATTTTCTTTCAGGTTCTCACACAAAGGGGACAATATAATGTTTACACATGCAGATCTGGTTTATGTCACTTCACAGTTTGGTCTCAGGGCCAGCGAGATAATTCAGCAGTCTAAGTATCTGCTTCGGCAAGTGCAGGCACCAGGATTCAATCCAAGGCACCATGTGCCATGCTGGCCCTGCCCCCAGGCCTGTCAGCTGAGACTTGGCATGGTGGTGCACACCTGTAATTCCAGGGCTGGAGAGGCTGAGACAAGAATCTGAGCTGCATAGTGAGATTCTATACCAAATACATAAAATGAATAAAGTCTGTATTTGTATCCATTTTAAAACTCAATTTTATCCTTTTTACAGCTGACTAATAATCTACTATGTAAAAAATTCTACATTGTCTTTGTCAATTCCTAATTTGATGGGCATTTGGGTTGGAGCATTTAGCTATGTCAAATTGTGCTGCTATAAACATGGGTGCACATGTATCACTGTGGTATGATGTTTGCAGTTCTTCTGAAAAAAGAGGGGAATCACTTCATTGAATGGGACCTCCAATGCTAGTTTTCTGAGGAATCTCCACTCTAATCTGCATGGTGTTTGTACCAGTCTACACTCCCACCAACCATGAGAAGAGTCCCTTTTCCTCCACAGCCCCTCCAGAGTTTGTATCGGCCAACTTCTTGACGTTCACCATTCTTTCTTGGGTAAGATGGAATCTAGTGTTGTTTTTATTTGTATTTCTTGAATGACCAATGGTGTTGAACATTGTTTCATATATTTTACTTTCCATTTGTATTTTTTCCCCTGAGAAATGTATATTGATCTCAGATGCCTATCTTTGCATTTGTGGGGCCTGATTTTTTTTTAATTCTTAATATGTTCTAGATAGAAGATCCTTTTCAGAGGGACAATTGGCTATAATTTTTCCCTAGTTCATGGGTTTTC